ACACGTTGTCCAAGGCGGTGCTCATGGCTGGGGTGATGCTGATGGGGACCACACACCCCGATCATTAACGGCTCCCTGGGGGAACCTGCGACAGATCCACGACCGCTGCCTTTGAAGTCCACACCTTATCGCATCCTGAACTCACAGGGGCCTTTGGACGTCTATAAAAGACGACTAGAGAGGGAGGGAGACAAAGAGGGGTGCTTCCTCCTCACTGGCTGGGGTGCAGGGAGGGGCCACACTCCTCACTCATGGGCCTCCTGGAACCTCCTGCCGTGTTTGCCTCCCTGGGCTGGTGTCTCATGAATGGCCAGAAACAAATACTATAAATTGTAGCCGTATTTTAAAGGACATCTTTCCCCCAGCTTCTCCAAAACGCAATTCACATGCTAAACAGGGGAAGAGGTCAGTCACCGACAGGGAGGTGGCCAGGTCTCTAGGGGCCTGTGGCTCTCCCACACTCCCCTGGAGCTGAACGTCAGGTCTTAGGCTGTAAGTAACTAGACCACTGGTTTAGGAAGACAAAAGATCAAGGACTCTGGACCCCAAGGGGGGCATGTGGATGGGAAAATGCCACCACTACGGCCTGAGAGAGGAAGGAAAGCATGCATCCTGCCCGGTGACGTGGCGGCGAGCACAGCGTCAGCACAGCAACCAGGGGCGAGGTGAGGGCAGCTGCAGGCTATCCAGGCACGTGACCTTGAGTCACACCCGCCTCCATCCTTACACCCCCCACCCCTGGACTTACGTCTTCAGGGGCGTCTTCTTCTTCTTGGCGGGCTTGTTCAGCCCGTCCCCATCCACTCCGTTGGTTTCCATGGCACTGGCCGGGATCTCAAAGGAAGCTGGGGATTTAGAAGGTGAGCTGGGGGTCTTAGAGGACGTCTTAAAGGGGTCAACGGACTCGTCACAGGCGTCTGGGTCAAAGTTGTAGGATTGTTGGGGCAGTTTGGGGGACTCCTGCATTTTTGAGGTGGAAGAAAAAGGGTTAAAGTTGGGGTCATCCCACTTGTCAATATCAAAGGTGTAGGTACCTTTAGCGATAGGGATGTCATTGGGTTCAGCGGGGGACCTGGGAGGAGAGGCAGGGGTGCTGTCAAGTTTCTCGGGCGTCTTTTTCATCTTTGGCCTCCTTAGGGGCATTTTGGCAACCGGCTTTTTGCCTGGCTTTTTGGTAGGAGGGGGGTTTTCCTGCTGGTTGTCCCAACTACCCTTGTCCTCCGAATAGTCGAACTCCAGCCTCACTGACAGCCCCTTGGCCGGGGAGCCCTCCTGCCCCCCGCTGTCTGCCGGGGTCACCTCCACCGCCTCTGGGGCCGTGGTCACAGGCAGCGTTTTCCTCCCGACGGGGGGCGAGTTCTGCACTCTGCCGCCTCCGGAAGCTGGGGGGACGGCCCCTTCCGCGCTCTCCGCGTCCGGGGGGCAGGCAGCTTTGGGCACAGCGGCGGGTTCTAGGGGTGTCTCCTCCAATAAGGCCGGGCCGGAACCTTCCGTCTTGGCCGACTCTGTTTTTGTCTCCGACGCCAGAGTCTCCTCACTGGCGACAGGACTCTCCTCGGCCGGCTCCTGGGGTGTCTCCTTCACTGGGGGGGTTTCTGTGGGTTTCTTAGCGGGCTGTTTCTTTTTTAAGGAAGGCGGCCTCGGCTTTTTAGTTCGCTTAAGGGTGCTGGAAGCACTGCTGGAGCCCGTGCTGTAGGCATCTGGGGCGGCGAGGGCCACGGCCTCGGGGCTGCCTGAGCAAGAAGCACCGTCAAAGTCGCTGGCTTGCAGGCTGAGGGAGCGGGACAGCGTAGACTTAGAGATCGGGACGGAGTCCGTGGACTTCCTCCGCGCGCTCGCCTTGCACTCCTGACTCTTAGCGTCGCAGGCGCGAGGCTCCGAGGTCTGAAAGTTATCCACCAGCTCGATGCTGTCGAAGTCCAGGTTGTAAGTCCCGCTGCTGGCTATCGGCTTGTCTTCATCGAAGACGGCAGAGAAGGAATGGGACGGAGGGCGGAAAGGACTTCCTTCCACCGAGTCACTCCGGGGGCCATCGGGAACGGAGACCACCTCAGAACCACATCCTGAAGACACAGAGGAAAAGCCGTCATTTAGGGACACGGGACACTCTGGAGGATGTGCCCTCTTGTGCCAGACCGTCACCCTCCAGAGCAGAGGCCAAAGCCACGGGCCACCCTGGCCCACCACTAGGCACCCTGCTTGGGGACAGCTTCCGGCCCAACCCATTATGAGCTCCAGACTCCGGACAGGCTGCTCGCCCTCGGTTCCCTCGCCTGCAAAATGGGAGTGATAAGGGCTGGTTAAGGGATAGCTCAGATCGTTTATTCAAAAACATTTACCAAGTAGTGCCTAATAAAGACCAGGCTGGGGATTCAACCATGGACAAAACAGACAAAATCCTTGCCTTCCTAGAAGTCACATTCTTCAGGGAGAAGACAGTGAATAAACAAATAAACAAGTAAAACATTACAGTCAGAGGGTGATATGTACTAAGGAGAAAAATGAAGCCAGGACGGGAGAGTTGCAATTTTAAAATAAGGCAGTCAGGCAAGGTCCTCTGAGGACCTTGAACAAAAAAATGAAATCAAGGTAAAAGGCATGAACCAGGAGGATTCCTGGGGAGGAAGCACCTCTGGTGTGTTGCAGAAATAGCAAAGAGCGTAGCGTGGCTAAAGCAAGGAACAGGAAGACAGAGAAATACTGCAGGTAAAGCACAGAAGCCTTGCAAGTACTAGCTGCCGTCTCCGGCAAGCCTGTTTCTGACCTCAGAGCCTCTGTGAGGAACAAAGGCCCCCCCCCCACAGCTAGCGAGGACATAACTTGCCCATGACGACCAACCTAACCTTCGCGTCGAGCTTGCATTGATTGAAAGGTGGGAAAATATACCGTCTGCCCTCTGAACCACTTCACACCACCCTTCAGTATAAAACCACAGACGACCGAGCTCATTTCACCCCGAGAACGTGCCAATAAGCTGTGAATTGTCACAACTAGCTTTCGATGCCTTGTCACCCTCTCCTAACCGAAAATTTACCGTGAAAAGTTACCAGCGCTGCATAGAACGACTTTGCTGCCTATCCCAGCCATCCATGCCCTCCAAATCATTCATAAGACTCAGCAACGTTATATTGGGATCCACCTGAGAACTGAAAGGATTTCTTCACAAGGTTCATCCCGGGCCATCCGGCTCAAAAACCAGAAAAAGAGCAACCACTAATAGCCAACTGGGAAGTCGAGACACCATCAAGCCAAATCCAACCCCGAAAGAGAATAAGCGTCCATCCTATTCCATCCCCGGAACTCCACTGCGAGGATGGCTCTCTGTATCGCTGCCAAGACCGATTCCCATCCAGAGCGAAGCCAAACCGACGAGCGCGACCCGCGCGCGAAACACACATCTAGACACTGAGAAACTTAAGACACTTCTGCCTAGCAGTGACAATACTGACTCCCAGGCTTGCAACGAAAAAAAAACCATCTACCCTCCACATACTACTATATAGGAATACAACATAGCTGGGAATGGACGGCCAGGAGCCCCACAAAGAAAAGTAAGATACCATCAACACTCGGAATTCAAAGTAACTAAACAGAAAAACAATGGAGAAGCTAAGGTCTTAATTCTACTGTAACAAGACTCCTAAGTAAGAATGGAGCGCAGTCATGTTATCCGACCTTCCCCCAACCTCAATTGCCACAGAGAAAAGTACTCTAAAGCGGCTGTGCTGTAGTCACGATGAACCAACCCCATCCCTACTTGAATCCTCTGCATTGCTCCCACCTAACATCCTCTTGAGAACCTAAGAGAAGCTGTAATATCAACACTTAATGCTCGGCCCATAAAGACTTCTTTAAAGCTAATACTGACGGAACAGCCTAATTTACAGCAGTAAAAGGAACTTAAGGTGCTAAACTGCCAAATCACACAGCATGCACCACAGTAAACCAAATCAGCTGCCTTTCCTAATTCACCACCACCACAACGATAGACTAGGACAATTAACACATCTCAAACTACTTATTCTCATAGAAACCCCACATCAGTTGGCAAGTAAGACTAATTTGAATGGCCTTGTAAGAATCATTGCTTGCCTTAAGACGGAATCACCCAAACACCCCATTAAGCTTGTTGGAGGGCACCAAGCATTAAGTTGTCATATATAACTGATTGTTCCCGAACCATATGATGTTAACAAACATATTGGTGGATGCCCCATGGTATTAACTTGCCCCAAATAAAGCCACATTTTTTGTTTTGTAAAAATGTATATATCAAAAACAAATTTATTAAATCCAACACAGAACTTTCCAAATAAAACCATAAAAAAAAATTAACATCAAAAGACAAAATGTTAACAAGTAATAAAAATCAGGCCAGTAGTGCAACACAAAAACAAACAAAAATAACTTTGTCAAGTTTACAACCTCAAAACAACACACGCACCAGAACAAGACACCACAAAGTGAGGTCACATACAGTGACTCATCACCTCAACGCAAGCAGAATTTGGACCAATTGCATACAAGCACATTGCCTACTGCGTCACATTCCTTTAATATGCAACATAAGGACAATAAACAGACTGGACTGGACAGGTCAGAAGAAACACTTCCCCCAGACAATGATTGTGTTTTGTTTGGGAGCGATCTGCACTCTGAAGGCTCTTTGCAAATATCCAAATTGGAAAATCAAAAAGAAATGGTTGAAATAGCATCTGAAGCAGGTTGGTTTCAAGAATAGAGAAGGAGACATGCCCTAGCACCTGAATCAAGAAGCAACCCAATGGTTACCAATCTATCAAACCACCTGCTCTGCAACCACCCAAATCTATTATTGTCCCTTCGGAGGGGAAACCCCTCTGATCCTCACCAATCACCCACCAGAATAAACTGGAATATAAACCAGAAATAAACTTGAAGGGTTAGAAGGTGGAACCCATTATATACTCCAGAAAACACCTGTTAGTAAGAGAAGTTCAAAGTCAATCCCAAATATCCCAATAACATAGTTCAAGAACTTAATAGCCTTCAGCCATTTAAACAATGACATTGCGAGCCCCCAAGGAAACCTTCTGTCAGTTACCACAGATTCAATCATGAACTAACCAAACATAGGCAGACACCAAAAAAACAGCAAACAGCTACTAAAAAAAAAAAAAAAAGCAAAACCCACAGCACTTCTCCACCTTACTGAATGATAATCACTGCTACTTTGGCTGCTACACGAACATCACCTGAAAATGGCAAAAAACGCCCTAGACAATTTTGAATGAAAACTTTAACCGACCTTATCCCAATAACTTCCCACCATTGTAATACAATTGCATTGTATATACAAAGAAGCCTCCAAGTAACTATCATGCAAACACCTCACCTAATAGCACTGGACCATGCACCACCCCTGGGATTATACTGCAAAGACTAATACTGTGTCGACTTCTTACTTCCAGAAGGCGTTACCTCCCCCCATTAGAATTCAATATTAAAACACTGCCTTATACATTTAATTAATTCCCTGTTGAGTGTGATTTAATTCACCATTTCCAATTTCTTCTCCCATCCAGAAAAGCAAAAATTCTGACTCAACTCACACATGGGCACAATCTGCAGAAGAGAGCGCTGAGGAAATCAGCGAAATACAAGCACTCAACAGAAGTGGTTGACAATGACATCAAATTGCAATCCCAGCATGAGAGAGAGCAAGTTCAATGAACAAACTCAATCATACCACCTTCCTAAAATTGCTAAAGAACACCACAGAATCCACAAGCCATTTGCTAAAACAAGAATCTCCAACCACAAATTCATTGGGTAGTCACCAAATGCCTTCCTCAAAATGCATCCACATCCTGTCCTCCACAGCACATCGTTGACATTGCTAAGGAGGGTCAACTGCTTTATCTAGGGGCATTTGCTCTCACAGAATACTATGCGTACCATTACGCACAAATCTATTCTAGTTAAGAACAAGGCTTTCGTCCACAGAAGTATAACTCAGGCCTACACCATACCACCTGATCCGTTGCCAAAAAAAACTGCTCTCCTCTCATGAAAGCATTCAAGCATGTGCCCAAGCTACGTAAACTTGAAATCCAGTACTAAAACCGAAAAATTGATCCTTCCTGACGCCCTTTTCTGGCTCCATTGCAGTTCTGAACAAATTGGTACCATTAAAACATAACCAAAATAATTTAATGCCTTTTGTGGGCAAGCGAATAGTTAATTAAAAATAAAACAAACACCCCACTCTAATACCACTTAATTTGGAAGTTTCCATAGCTGGGGAAGAATCAGTTCCTCCAGCCTACTGCCCCTCCTCTGGTCACCTCTCCTCCCATGCACCCCCCATTGGACAAAGAATTACCAGTAGCACCACCTCTTTCCATTCAACCTCTACCCATCCAAACGGGAAAATCAGTTGCAAACGGCTGATAAAAGGTGTCCTTAAGACCTCGCCTGGTACCTCAACTGCAGTTAGTCCACAGAACCTGCTCGGCCCTGAAAGCCTCATATAAGGCTTGTCTTATAGCAAACCAAAGCCAACCCACTCCAAAGACCCCTTCAACCTTCCATATTGTGAACCTACGATCTTTAAAATTTATCATCCCCGAAAGAGAACTGTCAGGTTAGAATTTTAAAAAAGCAAATTCCAAGTAATTTCTCTAACATATCAATAAAAAACTCGACTGCGAAACTCCTTATTTCTAGCACTGCCTGGAACAGCTTTCGCCCCAACATTATACTCAGACTCCGGAAGGCTCTCGCCCTCGGTTCCTCGCCTGCAAAATGGAGTGATAAGGCTGGTTAAGGATAGCTCAGATCGTTATTCAAAAACATTTACCCAAATAAGTCCATAAGCAGCTGGGGATTCAACCATGGACAAAACAGACAAAATCCTTGCCTTCCTAGAAGTCACATTCTTCAGGGAGAAGACAGTGAATAAACAAATAAACAAGTAAAACATTACAGTCAGAGGGTGATATGTACTAAGGAGAAAAATGAAGCCAGGACGGGAGAGTTGCAATTTTAAAATAGGCAGTCAGGCAAGGTCCTCTGAGGACCT